ATTAAATTACAATGAAGAAATGTGTTTTGAAATTCCGTAATATCAATACCAGGTTTAATGGTCGCATTATACCAAGAATATAACGCATTATCGAAATCAAGACAATTCAAAACCCGCAAATACTTCGGATAATCAAATAGTGCTGGTTTTAAATCTTGAAGATTTATATTATTGTTTATCAAGGTTAACTTTTGAATTTCTGGGAGACATTTTACATAAGTGTGAATAATTTTTATTTCTTTATTATTATGAGATAGTTGAATGTTAAAGACATTACTCCATAGCAGAGGAATAACTGATCTACACCATAAACGACTAACTAAAGCACAAGAGAAAAGTGCTTTACGATCATCGAACAAGTGAGAGATCACTTCATTAACATAATCGGGGATATGAAAAAGAGTGATTGAGGAATCCATTAAATAAGATTTATTAAAGTTTGAAGAATAATGATCAAATTGGTTTAAAAGATGTGAGTCAGATCAACTTGGATTTTATATTAAGTGCATACTGTGTTACTCAAATTAGTTCTGCAGCCACTCTGAGTAACGATAGTTGTGACACTACAAAAAATGTTGCGTATTTCATAACGAACTATATAAAAAGCAATGCAAGACTACAATGTAGTACCTACGATTAGGCTTGTTAGACGAAACTCTTTTATAAAATGAATCTAACCTCCTGAAAGATGAAAATGACGAAACTTCCGCGAAAGAACAAATCTTTGAAGAAAGACGAAGTTCCTGACGAAAGTAAAATATGACAAAAGATAAACCTCTGTAAGAACAAAGCTTAAAAAACCTAGTGCTGTGCTATAGTCCATTATTCTTTTACCGTAAATACATATTGTGCCAGGAATCAGGAACTTAGTGAAACCAAGTGTATATAAAATCTTGTGTGTTACATTATTTTCTAAAAATTATTATTTGTAACTTTAACAAATTATTAAAACATAGATAAATTAATAAAAAATCTTTATTCTCACTCACTATATTTGCACGAATTAAACATGCCCAAACGAGAGAGATACAGTATTAGGTAAAGATAAAGGTTACTAGCTTGAATACTTATTATTATAAATACACTGATCAATAATTTTATCCGCTAAGTTTACGCGAATATAAAAAACTTAAAAAGTGATAATGTGTAAAGATAAATATTAAATCGTGAAACTTGCTTCAAATACATCGATTAAAATCTTTATATTAGTAATTAGATACGAATGAAGTAAAAGGTATTTATAGCAGTAACTATCTCACGATCGGCGGGGTTATAGGCGAGAACATGCGTTCTAATTGTCAGATAATCAAGGGTGAAAGTCGAACTATCTTACAATGTTGAGTTATATTTTTTATATAACGTGGATTCTCATTTGGACCTCCGTCAACAAGGAGGACCCAGATTTGTTTGTTTGTTTTAAGGATATTATCGAAACAGCAACCTTAAATTAATGACTTATGAGTTTGCAGAGCTTGTACTGTACCAATTCCATATCGTGAGTGCACGAATATGGAAAGTTGCTCATTACAAAGCGTGTTGTTGGTACAGTATTGACAGTAATTTATAATATTTTTTTTTAAGGGTTTGGATTTTATATCGGGACATTTGCTGGGTGATGATGTGTTTTGCTACTATAGAATTTGAACGACATTCAAGTTCTTCACATAGGTGATTTACTATTTGTACTTTAATAATCTTTTTTCATCAATAGATCCAAATTCGATGCACTTGTGGATATGCTCGTGCAAACTTTGATATTAGTATAAGAAAGGAGGTAAATCATATTTTATGATTTGTTGCCGTGTTTTTACAAGTTCAACTTTTTTCTCTACACTTTATGTTGGTAAGCGGCATGTCGGTTTAGATTTTGATTCTTTTGTCTTCAATATGAGGTACTTGTTTAATTATACTGTGTTTCTATATTACATGCCCGTTGACACTCTAAATTTCTTTATTTGCCGCAATGAGAATTTTCTGTAATTGCCTCATATATATATCCCTATAAGAAATCGTAGCACGGCATAATACGGCAATGCATGGAAATTTGAAGCACTAAACTGTATAAATATACACGGGACAATACAAGGAAAAGCACGTCTACAGCACGTAAAAAGGCGCGGATTCCGAGCAACATTGCACGTTCTGAAATGCAATTTTACGTGTTTTCCTGTGCTTTGTCCCGTATACATTATGTGCAGGAAACGTGTGATAATGTATATATTTACGTGCTTTCACGTGCATCGTTTTGTATAGTTTCGCGTGTAAACCAGTATAATAACGTGTGTTTTTATAAGGGGCGTGTCAGATATTAGTTGAGATCAGTTTACTTTTCTTCCCTCCTAAGAAATTTAGCCATTTTGATTAGTTATATATAAATTTAGACTTGAAATTTTGTTTATTTCCCTTCTACCTACAATATCAGCTGATATCTGACACTTCCCTAGCATTTCATAAAAATATTCTATGATTTCTCATAAATTTAATAATATTTTATTAATTATATATATATATATATATATATATATATATGATTATATTTAAAATATTATTGTAAATTATTAAGACTAAAGTATCATTTAAAAATGCTGTAAGTTCATCAAAAAATTTCTAAAAAAAGCCATATGTAATGTCAAAAAAACATCAAAGTTTCATTAAAAAACTGCCTTAAATATGTTATAAATATTATTTAAAAAATTAACCCCACTAAAAATATCATCAAAAATTTCATCAAAAAATTCAAAATATTGAACATACCTAAAATTTTTGAAAAAATATAAAGTATGTCAAAAAAAATGTGAAAATATTTTCAAAAAAATGTTGTATCATTTGTTTCTATAAAAAAGTGAAAGTTTTATTAGAAAAATACTGAATATTACCAAAAATGTACCTAAGTATTGTAAACTAAAATATTATTGAAAAGTCATAAGTCTAAAAAAAAAAACAGAGTATCAATAAAAATGTCACCTAAAGAATTTTGAAAAAAAAACGCATTAAATAATGTTGAAAAAATATTGAAATGTCATCAAAGACTTTTAAAAAAGTTTATCAATACATGTTGTGTTGGGGTGTGCGGTCAACTATGTAAATATATAAAAATCAATTAATGAATTTTTTTCGAATTTAATGATCAGAATATTGATCGGGGTTACGTATTTATCGCTTTTTAAATCTATTTTAATAGTAAAGAATTACTTGTATGTCTTTAGATGTCTAGAGAGAATCGCTTTACTTTTTTCAATCATTTAGTATAAATCAATTCTTAAACATGTTTATAACAAAGTTACGTTGAAATTTTTATCACTAATATTTAAATTTCAATTTAACACATGTTAAGAACTATTCAAGGATAAAAAATTTAATACTAGTATGCAACATTTTTTAACGTAACTTTGTTATAAACGTGTTTAAGAGTCGATTTATGCTAAAATAATTGAAAAAAGTAAAGCGATTCTCCCTAGACATCTAAAAACATACAAGTAATTTTTACTATTAAAATAGATTTAAAAAGCGATAAATACGTAACCCCGATCAATATTCTGATGTTAACAAAATAAAAAAATGGTTGTTCAAATATGATTGGATGTTTTATAATCGTTAAGAAATCTTAACGATTCTGCACGACAGTTGCACGGGAATTATATAATCATTAAGAATCTTAACGATTGTACACGCCAATGCACGGAAATTATATAATCATTAAGAATCTTAACGATTATAACACGCCAATGCACGGAAATTATATAATCATTAAGTATCTTAACGATGGCACGTCGGTGCACGGATCACAACTTTTTGTGTGTGTTTGCTCATACCGATTTCTCATGGGAAATTTTTATATTTATAGACTGGCGCAAGCTTTTTGCCTTATATTTAATCGATATTCTTTAGAGTGATTAATTTTAACTGAAGCTTATGTTGGCTATATTTAAAAAATTTTTAAGATTAGGTTTGACAGAATTTTCCGAGTAATTAACTTCGATTTAATTTATAGCGCTTTGCAAAAAGATGTGAACATACGATTTAAATGATGATGATGGCTGAGAATCACTAAGATTCCAGATTGTTTGTTGCTTTATATTTACGATTGGTTACGTTTATATTTCTTTGAAATCGGTTTAATTCTTAAAATCTCAAAAAATCTATAAAATCTCCGATTCTCACATGAAAAAATGATCTGCAGTGTTCACATCTTTTTGCAAAGCGCAATAAGTGGTCAAGTCCAATAGAATTTTTAACTGCTTGAAAAGCATCTTCATAAAAATATTCAGTGGAAGATTCAATAATCAGATACTGCAGGCATGAACAAATTCATAGACGAGGCAAAGAAAGCAAGTTGCTTTATATAATCATTTGTTGTTTTCGATAAATTAGTTTTATTTATATATGTTAACATGAAATAACAGATAAAACGAATCCAATCTTCATAATACCAAAAATGTATATTATAATAACAAACGTTGTTTACTGCATTAATGTGTTTAACCATATAATTTTTAAGATTTGTGAAATGTGCAAAAATAAATGGCAGAAGGTATATCTGTTTCGTGTCATTTTTCAATTTACGTCGCTTCGAAACTGACGTTAAGTCAATAGCAGATAGTGCATCGAACACCCCAGTGTACAGTACGTATGTATCAGATATCAGGCTGTATAACTATTTTTTGTATTACTACATAGTAATAGATTTACAACTTTTAATGCTTGAGACCTGTTTTTAACGAATGCGAAGAAAAAAAGAGAGAAAAAAATGTCTTTCATTAACGTTGGTTTTGTTATCCCAGAAGGTGAGACAGAGATTGAGTGCGTATATGTTGAAGAAAGAGTTAGAAGTGAGTCATCGCACAAGAAGGGAAAATGATTAGTAGATAAAGCTGTTATATGGGCAGTGTTCTGAGAAAAGGTCCCAAATTGATAAAAAATTTTCTTCACAAAAAATCAATTATCTCACGAAATATTAATCAAATTAAACGATTTTGGTACCATTCGATTCGTCTCATCGAGAGGAATCGAATGGTACTAAAATTATACAGTTCTGTTTAATAGTTCACGAGAATTGATTTCTTGTGAAGAAAATTTTTTATCAATTTGGGCCCTTTTCTCAGAACACTGCCCATATGTTTAAGAAGCAAAGGTGTTAGTTGCGTAGGAACAGGGTGAGTTTATTCACTGGGTTAATGCGTGTGTATTGTGTTCTGAAGTTACGCTGCCACTATCGATGTAAAATATCTAGAATGAAAGCTCTTCGTGGCCAACAGTTTGGCTGTTGAACGTTCTTCTAGTTTTCAATGTTCAGCTATGCCTGCTACAGCGCTTCCGAATTTATGGTGAATAGGAATACATACAGACCGAGAATTGAAAGCACTTCGTGGCCAACTTTTTTTGTTGAACTATCTTTTCAGTTTAGAAAAGTTGCGATTTTTTACCACGTTACTTATTTTTATCATTTTATACCAATAGACATTCGGGAGATGGTGGATATACGCGGGAGTATATATGGTATTTCTTTCAGTGCCCAATGTAAGAATTATAGCAGAAAAATTATATATATATATATATATTGATTTTGGTTTCCTTCATCTTAAATAAATATTTTAAATTTCAGGGCCTGCGATCGTCCGTGAATTGAGAGATCTAACTGGATTTTGGGTGTTATAGTGATCTCTTCGAAAAGGTATATTTGAATGGTAAATGGGTAAATGGATATTCGCGTGATGCATACAATACCGCAAATAGACTTGGAATTGTACAGTACTTACGGATTTAAACGATATTTATTTGGACATAAGAATGGCAGTCGTTAATCGATTTAAATTTTTTTTTCTGTATTTATAATATGAAAGGCGACAGAAATAGTTACGTTATTGATGCAGATCTTACTAGTTAGGGTTAGTGATAGGTTAGTTAGGGTTAGTTACTATATTAGATAGTGATCTGCATCAATAACGTAACCATTTTCGCGGGTTTCACCCTGTCATTTTATAATTATTATTTTGTATATACTTTTATTTTGTTTATCTAAAATTGCTTGACGGAAGTTTCCATCATTCATTAGGCATCATTGCGAGATATCATAGAATTCACTCCGTGTCGCATAGTACAATGCAAACTACATTATTTTCTCGTTTCATTTTCCGAGGTCAATTCCCCAACATAGAGCATTACATAGTGTTAGAGTTGGCATTTTTATTAGTTGTAGGTGTATATTATCACCGTGTGATGTCAAGTAAATGGCAATGGCCATCGGGAAATTAGATGTGGTTTAAAAATTTTAATAAATTATTTAATACATTTATTACCGTACAGCGTTGCATACAGTAGTACTCAAGATTTCAAAAATGGCAAGATAATACTATATAAAGAAGGGGATACTATGCAAGAGGTATACTCAAGAGAGGATTAATCATGTAAATTGATCGTACATATAACAGGGTCATTAATTTGGGCTATTTTAATTGTACCGGGATACCTTTCAAAAATGTTGGAATCTACAATCGAATCTACAATTGAATAGTACCCTGATACTATTCAAGGAGATTCATTTTTAAGGTGCGCTGCATGATATAGATTATCTTTATATTCACACACAAATTTAACATATTCAAATGAGAGATATTAAATAAGGATAAGTGCTACAAGATTGTTATAAATAGGTTGTTATTAGTAAATTGAATCAAAAAAAATATATTTATAATAATTTTAAATGCATCGAGTAATATCTTCATACTAGCAATTAATATAAAATTAAAGGCGTTTATATTAACTGCATTGCTTAAGTAATTTCCGTAAATTCTCAAAATAGCGGGCATGTGCGCTATTTTGAGTTTGGCCCGAATTAAACTTAATTTAAATTATTTACATGGGATAATCTAAATGTTATCTCGCAAAAAACATAGCCGAATTTTTTATTATGTACGTACGTATGTACGTATGTATGTATGTATGTATGTATACGTGTACTACATGGCACGGCATGTTAATTTTATAATTTTATCAAACCTAACGCTAACGCTTAAGGTTCATCTCAATTTTAGAGAAGCACTATCACACTACACAAATTATGACTTCAACGAATACATCACGATCCACCACCTTGAACCAAATAGAGGGTCAATCTACTAATACTTCATCGACGATTCCAAAATATACAAGATACACAATTACAACTTCAGAATGGCACTATCTAAAAATAAAAATGTAAATACATTCAACCTGTTTTTTATTATATTTTCGATCTAAAAAATCCTACAATTTTTTCCTTTCAACATAGTAATTTTGACCCACCAACAGATCCATTACCAACTATAACATCGTTGGCACTTCGTTCACTAATCAGCAGATCATTATCTGAAGCATTTGGAGTCATTGGATCTGGTATTCATGTTGATATCCTGTATTGGAGTGGTGATGACTCTCAAAGTGAAGAGTATATTGGAGTGATTAGAGTCCCAAGAGAGTAAGCTTTTCAAATTAATGAAACATTAATTTAATTATTATTACGTATTATTATTTATACATTTAATCAAATTAGGGACTTAACAACATTATGGAGCTCGCTTACATTATTTAATGCAGCTTTAGATGTTGGAGATCAAATTAGTAAAGAAATTAATTTTGAAGTTCTCGGAAACTCTGCTTTTTTAATGGGATTGTGCACAGATAGTAGGGAATGGACTAAAAAATTATTGAATTCTTAATCAATTTAACCTAATTATAATAAACTAGGTTTTTAAAAGTTATATTACAGTTTAATATAACCATTATATTTGTATATTTACTCAGTATATATGTACTGTATATAAATAATACTTTATTCCTTATAAGGATGCTTTCTAAAACTATAAAACATAATTATGGGATCCTTTTTTTTCATGTATTACATATTGTGTTGCAAAATTCATATATATTGAACTGGTGCAAAAGATCCTAACTACAAGCTAATTAGGGCATTCTTAAGCAGTTTAATAGATGAGAAAATTTTTAATTAATCAAAAATTGAATAAACAAAATAAGTGAGTTACTACTTCGATGAATAACATCTGGAGATGCAGACTATAGAATTCTCTGATTGGCTAAAAGTTTAGAATCTACTTTTTTGCACAAATCCCTTCAATTAATTGCAATAATTTAACAACTTCTCGATTACTAGCTAACACATTGAGAAAGCTGCTTGAGAATACTCAGACAAATCCAGACTATTTTTTCATATCTTTCTAATAAGTGTCGTGGTGCTACGCGATACCCATGTGACTAGTGATCGGGCGTGTTGATTGAATGTCAGCGATCAGGATGAAGATTAATTAAAAGTCTAAATATTGATGCATAAATAATATAATAATCAATAGCGATTAGTAATAATCAGTGACGCAAATGTGTATTAGTAATAAATAAATAGGGTATCGATCCAAGAGGGGAGATACAAGTTAGAACTTAGAAAGAAGTTCTTGACCCGTAATTGCCTTGAGTTATTCTTAGTGAATACATTCTCGGTGGTAGTATCTGGTACGATACTCCAGTCATCGTATAAATTAGCCAAGCAAGTAAAGACTGTTAGTAAAGATCAAGAAGTGCACGGTAGTTAGGTAAACTCCGTGATAATAAGATATTTCAAAAGATGAGAAGAAAAACCCTATTTCAAAAATATTCATTCCATTCTTATCATCACCTTAGATAAAAGCTTGAAAAGTCTTTTGTAACTGTTATTCTAACAAAGCAAATATACTTTTTAAACAAGATTGCATTTCTGTTAGGCATATCTAAAGATGGCAAGGAATAAAACAAAATCAGTTAGCAGAAAATAATAGAATCAACTTGACATATTGAATGGCATAATTCAAATGCCATTCAACATGTTGAAATTTTTAAATTCTGTTAGTATAATTTATAAAAAAACTGTTTTCCTTAAATATATTCTTAACATTAATAATTACTAATCGAAAGTACTACAGTGCAGGACAGCATAAACCAACAACTTTTATATGTAGTTTACAAACTTAAAAACAAAAAAAAAATTTCAAAAAATTTTTTAGCCAATTTGTAGCTTTAAGCCTAAGCTACAATTTGGCTAGAAAAGATTTTTATTTTATTTTAAATTTAAGAAGTTATATCAATTTAAAGTTTACTAAGAAATTCAAAATTTGGCATTTAATATATAAAAAAAAGAAACTCATATATTATTTTTGACCAATCACAATTGATTACATTATATTAGCCAATCAGAATTGAGTATTTATTTTAAAATTTGGCGCCAGGGGTGTTGGTTTATGCTGTCCTGCACTGTATATAATTGTATACTACTACTCACATAAGAAATAATATAATAAATCATTCCAATGCATCAGCGGTCAATTAATTAGTTTGCATACAATATTTGATTCAAGACAAAAATGCTGCACTTACCAGGCAGCTAATATCTTCATTATTAAAAATTTTGGAATGACGAAATATCTTAAAATATTTTGACACTCTAAAAATATTCTGACACTCTAAAAATATTCTGATACTCTAAAATATTCTGACACTCTAAAAATATTCTGACACTCTAAAAATATTCTGACACTCTAAAAATATTCTGACACTCTAAAAATATTCTGGCACTCTAAAAATATTCTAACACTCTAAAGATATTCTGACACTTTAAAAATACTCTGACATTTTAAAAATATTCTGACACTCTAAAATATTTTAGACATTCTAAATTAATTACAATTTAAGCTATCTAAAATAATTTAACTATTTAAATTTACAACATGAGCAAAATAATTTAAATGCCCACATGTAGGTATAAGATTGGTAAAATTGGGTTGGTAGATAAAGTTACAAGCATTTTAAATTTAAAAATCATGTAAAATTATAAGGAATGATAATTTTTTATATTATACCTTATTGTCACAGGATAAAGTATCATCATAGATAAACTGGTTCGAAATTAACTCTGGAGGCTTGGATAATTTATGAAGGTTATTATTTGAAAGTTGTAATAAAGGATAAAATAAGGTAAATTATAATTAAATCTCATTAGTCCTTTAAAGTTATAAAAAGGATGTAATTTGTGCAAGATAGAGGTATATAAGCTCACTAACTTGATAATAATTCTTTTTTATTATATAATCCAAATTACCAAACATCATGCCTCTGGTGAGTTGCCTTATAGCATAAAAGTTTATAGTTTAAGAGTATAAAGTATAAATTGTATGATTTACCTATAACATTATTATAAAAATTTCTTCTTATTAATATTTTTCTTTCATGAATTAGCAATTAAGTTAAAACCACTATCCCTATATATAATACCCAATTTATGTTTAATAATACAAACAAAAAATAAGAATTTAAGCTTTTACTTTTTACTGGGTTTGAAGCTATGATATTTATAATAGACAAAAAATTTTGTCACATCAAGTTATATTATGTCTTGTTAGCTATAAAAAGAGATCAAATTAAATATGCAGTATTTTTTTTACTATCGCATCAAGTTCAACTATAATTTGATTAGTTGATCAAAAATATAGTTTTTTGTTATTTTTATACTATAACACTGAAGAAGCGCAAGCAAGAATACTATCACAGAAATTAACATTTTTTATTTAGCTTCAGAAATCAATATTAAACCAAAATGAAATATGTTTATGCTTATAAATAGTTTCTTCACTCTCTTTGCCTTAATCATAGCCTTACATTTGCACTTTCTATTTGTAGAAAAGGCAAAAATACCTCTATAAGACTATTTATAAAATCCTTTACTTTTCTATCTTGATTATTGTAGAATGCTCTTATGTATATGTAAATATATTTTTTTACTTAAGTTGCCTTTTTCCTATGGAACCTTTTTTTTATAGTGTGTTTTTTTTCTTGTAAAATTTTTTCCTTATAGAGTGCCTTTAACTTTTATAAAAAAAAATAAGTTTTTATCTTATTTTATCAAATTCTTTGTTATCTTCTTTTCAATATAAGTAAATACTATAATACTCTTTTAGATCTACTTGTTCTAGAAAAGGAGTTAGTTTTTTTATATATAAAAAATAATTGTTCTTGTTGTTACAATATAAAAAAGACTAATAATTTCTTAAATAAGTAAAAGCCTAGCTTTAAGTAACTATAAATAAACTAATAAAAAAAGATGTTTTGTTAAAGTTGTCTCTGATAGATTTGCTAAAACATTACTTAAAATAATATCAAAACATGTTTTAGCAAGTTTTATTATATATACTGATTGTTAAAAAAAAAAAATTTAAGAACAAATCTATATTAATATTTTATAGTATAGATTTATTAAATGCTTTAATAATTTTAAATTATTTTTTAAATTTTAAATTTATATTTATTATTATATATTATTTTTTTGGTATTAAGGTAATCTCTTTGGCTATAAAGACTTTTTATTAAGAACAATCTACTCTCATTTATATCAACCTATTTGAATTAGTTTAAATTCATATTGATAGTGATATTAACAAGGGATTATAATAAAGTTGATAT